ATCAAAAATGCAGTTTCTGAGGCAAAACCAAGAAATAGAGAAGAACTGTGGAATGTAGTCCAATCATCCTGGGCTGGAATACCTGTTCACAGGTGCCAGAAGTTGGTTGACTCCATACAACACAGATGTACAGCAGTTCTCAGAAACAGTGCGACTACAACTAAATATTCATTAAGTGATTCAAAGGAAAGCAAAATCTTCAAACATTTTTCAGTTTATATAGTGAATGTTTGAGTTTGTAAAGAAGAATACAAACACTGATATTTTTTTGAACAGTCTAATATTCACTTTTCTTAAAATTTTTTAGAGGAACAACACAAATTTGATATATTTTTCTTCATGTTTTGATTTGGAATAGAATGTGTAGTGTTCCCAATGCATTTGTGTGTATGGAAATAAAAGCTATTAGAAGGATTTTCAGCTTTATTCACTTTTTTCAACACATTGCTATTATTTTGAATACAACTGTATATGTATGTAGCGCTACTCTCGAGGGCTGCTGTACTTCTGGATCCCTCTAAGCTTCGCACAGCCAGGCAACACGCATTTTCCACACTTTCATCCACAGTCAGTGAACAGTCCATGAGCTTGGTTTTTTGTTATTTTATTAGGGGAAATAACTTGGATAGGGTAATAGGAATTATGGGATGGCCAACTTGACTGAATCAATGCACGAGGACAGCTTCCTTCCTCTTTACAAAAACAGATCCTGGACTGTTCTTTTTTTTTTTAAAGTGGTCAGTCATCACGGATCAGTAGCAACAGTCCCTTAGGGGCTAGAGAATCGCAGCCTGAAGTTAGCTTAGCATTTTGTAAACTATATGCAGAGAGGTCTTCTCTTTGCTGTAGAACGTCTCCCAGCTCCACAGCCTGCAGACACTACCAGCCCTCCTGGCTACTCTGAAGATCTCTCAGGACAAGGATAAAGGATATATGTCCTTTGAAAGCTTTGCTACATGTGCCAGTCTCTCCCCCTGTAAATCCCTGGGTGTGCTGATGTACTCACTCTGTCCTCCTTGCTCCCAGGCTTTGATCCTGTTCATGCAGTGATGCTGAATGGACCCCTCTTGAGCCAGCCCCAGCCCAGCCTGGAGGCCAGACCCTCCCCTCCCCCTAGACCTAGGGGACCCCTTCCAGGTCACCGACAGTCTCCTCAGCGCTCCATCCTCCACTCAACTCCCTTGCCAGCCTGACTCTCCCATATATATGGGTTGGTCTCACCACTCTAACCAATCCCAGGTCTGTAGGCTCTGGTAGACTTCCATAAACATACAGATTGGGTCCCTTCCGACCACTAGCTTCAGGAAGGTTCCATGGTCCTCACCTCCAGAACCAGGAGGAGGCATTAAAAGGCCCAACCTAATAAACCATTAAGCCTGACCTGCAGTAACCCGACCTAATTACAGACTCTCACAGTTACCATTAGTCATACACAATACATTTACCTACACTACTCTAGTAGCACACTAGAGGGTGCTACATGTATGTAACATGGTTTGTATCATGCAAAATCAGAGGAGTGTACTGCAATACAGCTATGTTATACATATTCAAGCTCCTAGTATATGCTCCCAGAGCAGTGTTTACTACATCCCTGTTCGTTATGCTTCACATTTCTGTTAAATATGCCTACTTAGAAATCACTGAATTAAAAATGGAAACTAGAATTGTTGTGAGTCAATTCTAGCTGCTTTAGTGTTATTGTTTTTTTAAATTTTACCAATATACAATCTTTGCTTTACAAAAACACATTCCCTTTATTGAGAGGGCGCACTTACCTGCAGGATCTGGTTTCCATTAATGACTGTGCCATTTTGACTGCCTTGATCAACAAGTACATAATTCTGTAGACTGTGGTCGAAGTACACTTCTGCATGAAACTGAAGGGAAATAAAAATTTCAGAGATATCATTTAGTACAGAGACTAAAACACTTTCCTTTATATATGTAGAAGTCTACCAATAGGACAAGCATATTGTGATAGAATTGGATATGATTGCAGCTGCACACTTCCAAAATAAAACAGAAAAGAGGCCCTCATCTGGAGAGAGAAAAAAAAAAGAAAAGTGTCTGTGCTGCCCAAAGCTATCAGATTGTAACTGTCATCTTTCTAGAACAGATTGTACTGCATTGATGTAAGAATTCACAGTTCAAATCATTTTAGTTTAGATTGTAGTGATGAGAACACTACTTACCTTACTGACACCAACTTCTGGGATGCGAATTGTATGCCCCATGTCCTTTTCTCTAAACAACAAAAAATAAAACATTTTATTTTAAACACACACACAGAATTCTAACTTTTTTTCTGTGGTTGAACTGGATGGACTTTTGTCTTTTTTCAGCCAGACTAACTATGTAAACCTAGCACTCATCTCTAAACACACAAAAACGTCCACCCCCCAAGCTCTACCTACCTCCCAATGGTGGCACTTTTTACAGCTGTAATTATAAACAGTGATCCTTTCTGTAGCACCGGTGAGCGCACCACTATTACCCGAATACACGGAGGCCAGATCTGCTCTGTGTCTGCACAAGAACAAGAGATATTAGTTATCTTCAGAAGGTTAATAGAAAACTAGAACAAAAGAAATACTGGCTTTGTCATTGCTAAAAATTAAATGGCAACCTACTCCATATGAAAAACATCAGGACCCATATGTATGTAAAATTGTGCCAACAAGAACACCTCTCACTGTCCATAGCAACCAATCAAGTTTCAAATATATTTGATTCAGTGCACAAATGAAAATAAAACATGGATTTGGATTGGTTGCTAAAAGGTAACAAAATGTTTTGTTTGCTAGCACACTCTTCAAGCATGAGGCTGAACTGACCCATACATGCTGCAGTCTTATGGTACAGTTATACTTTGAACTATGCAGTTGTTGGTAGATCTAAAGGTCTGCTTGAATAGATGCCAAATTAATTGTTTACTTAGACGTTCACTTTATATAGTTATGGTAAGTCTAAAAGAGATAGGACAGAAATCGTACAGGCAGACTGCACCATATGCATGACCAGTATGCGAAGTTTGACTCCAGTAAAAAAATAATAATATAATAATAAATAACACCTCTCTGTCTCCACAACTCCTCTGTGACCAAGCCCTGGTGGGCAGGGCGAAATGCGTCAGTAGACATGGACGGCATGACGGCCATCCCCCATAAACAGAATTACACGGGCGGTCAGAGCGGTGTCCTTTCTCCCCTTTCCTAATTGCAAGTGATGCGGACACCATTCCCCTATCTATGCCGGAGAGTGACTTTTTATCTACAATTCAGCTTCTCAGCGGCACTAAGACATTTTTACACAAACTTTAGCAGTGGTTGCATTAGCTCCTAAAGGTCTGTGTTTCTCTAATGGACAGTTAGGTAAAGAACAGTAAATACAAGTATGTGTATCCCACGATACATCTCACTGTTAACTAGCCCAAAGTGACTCTACTAAAAATATTGTTTATACAAAAATGTTATAATTAACAAAATGAAAAATCTGATTTTTAAGCCCTTGCATAGAGATATGGGGTGCTGTGACCCCAGTGAGGGAGGACTGTTCCTTTTTTCGCTTGTGTTGCGTCCCCTGGCCACTTCCCTCCTTTTCTACTACTCCTTCTTCCCCTTCACCCAATTTTTCCCCCATCCTATGGCCTTGTGTTTCTGTTCAAGGCCTCCTACCTTCTCTTAGCTCTTTATTAGGAAAGTTCAGTAAGCATGACATCCGTTTACACATTGACTCCACTTAAGTTGCCCCCTTTATTGTTTGATACGTTGAAAACATTTCTTCGTTGACTCACAATAACATGACTTCTTCATTAAGAGGCTATGTGGTTAACATTTGATATACACATGTTGGAACCAATACTTGGCCATCAATTTCTTGGATTTTATTTTTTCAAGTTACTGCCCTTTCGACTATGTAATGCAGTGATCTCAAAACAGTTACCCTTTGCTTGCCTTTAGGGCATTTTTTTTTCCCACTGACATCCTAGATGGGGCAGCATCCCTCCCATTGATACCAACAATGGGGCACATTCCTGCCACGGACACCAACAATGGGGCACCATTCCTCCACTGACACCAACAATGGGGCACCATTCTTGCCACTGACACCAACAATGGGGCACCATTCTTGCCACTGACACCAACAATGGGGCATCAGTCCTCCCAATGACACCAATGATGGGGCACTATTCCTCCCCCTGACACCAATGATGGGGCACTATTCCTCCCACTGATACCAATGATGGGGCACTATTCCTCCCACTGATACCAATGATGGGGCACTATTCCTCCCACTGATACCAATGATGGGGCACTATTTCTCCCACTGATACTAATGATGGGGCACTATTTCTCCCACTGATACCAATGATGGGGCACTATTCCTCCCCCTGACACCAATGATGGGGCACTATTCCTCCCCTGACACCAATGATGGGGCACTATTCCTCCCACTGACACCAATGATGGGGCACTATTCCTCCCCGACACCAATGATGGGGCACTATTCCTCCCCGACACCAATGATGGGGCACTATTCCTCCCACTGATACCAATGATGAGGCACTATTCCTCCCTCTGACACCAATGATGGGGAACTATTTATGCCACGGATACGATGGAGATTATTCTTCCTATTAACCAATACCTATTTTCTACTCTCACTGGCCACAATCCAGCCCTTCTAAAGTCTGAAGGGCAGTAAACTGGCCCATTGCTTAGAAAGTTTGGAGACCCCTGATGTAAAGCTTTGTTAACATTATATGTGCATGTGAGGGTTTACATTTCCAATTTTGTATTGTAAACTTCAATAAAATAGACCGAACAAGAAAATGAACAAATTTTGTAGGAGTACAAATAAACGTCAAGTTCAAAAGGAATAACACCACCTTTTTTAAACAGAAATGGGCTCTCATTTGCTAAGCACAATTAAAGGGCATTGAGGACGGGGTCTCTCTAGCCTGAATTGGTTGAGAACATACAACAGTAAAACAGATATCACTTAGCTAAGAAAACAGTCGCACGGTCAGCACTGCTATCATGATCACCTTCAGTGTCAGAGTTGTGAGTAGAGGCACTCTCTGCACTGGACATTTCTTCATCACTGGAGGTCTTCTCAGAGTCAGTGAGTTCGCCCTCTTCTGGTTCACTGTCATCTACAGAAGAAGAGGAGCTGTCCCTGGTACTGGACTCTGCCACCTGACTGCTCAGCTTGAGCTTCTTGTTTCCACTAGCAGGCTCTTCCCTTTCATATGGACATACTCTGTCATTTTCTGCACTACAGGATAAGGATTCTCTCATCTCCTTTGAAGCCTTGAGAAAAATTGGGACAACACTCAGGGAAAAAAAAAAAAATATATTGCCAAGCATAAAAAGAGAACCAGTCATTTAAAGTTAACCAATCATAAGAAAGTTGAGCTTTCCCAGCACTCATCCAATCACTTTATAGAAAAAGATTTTTATATCATATTGTACTGAGTAATAAAAGCCTCAGTGTGTGACTAAGTTAGGGATAAGAGACTGTAAACGATACAGAGACCGCATACTCTGTAAACAATATCATGGAAGCCCCCTATAATAAATATTTTGTTTTTAAAATAAGGATTTTATACAAATAGTAATAGCCAAGATATACCTTGTATATGATCTCAACACTGTCTATAATTCTTATGCTGCTAGCATTAGTAAATAGAAGGTATATTAGAATTTCTTGTTTTAATATTTGTTTTTAACATTCTTCAGTTACAGTGCATCCAGAAAGTATTCCCAGCGCTTAACTTTTGTCACATTTTCTTATGTTACAGCCTTATTACAACATGGATTAAATTCATTTTTCCCTCAACATTCTAGAAAACAATACCCCATAGAGACAACGTGAAAGAAGTTCGTTTTGAAATCTTTGCAATTTATTAAAAATAAAAACAAACCACATGTACATAAGTATTCACAGCCTTTGCTCAATACTTTGTTGAAGCCCCTTTAGCACCAATTACAGCCTCAAGTTGTTTTGGGTATGATGCTACAAGCTTGGCACACCTATTTTTGGGCAATTTCTCCCATTCTTCTTTGCAGTATCTCTCAAGCTCCATCAGGTTGGATGGGGAGCGTCGGTGCACAGCCATTTTCAGATCTATCCAGAGATGTTCAAATCGGGTTCAAGTCTGGGCTCTGGCTGGGCCACTCCAGGACATTCACAGAGTTGGCTCGTAGCCACTCCTTTGTTATGTGGGCTGTGTGCTTAGGGTCGTTGTCCTATTGAAAGATGAACCGTCACCCCAGTCTAAGGTCCAGAGCGCTCTGGAACAGGTTTTCATCAAGGATGTGTCTGTCCATTGCTGCATTCATCTTTCCTTCAACCCTTAGTGTCCCAGTTCCTGCCTCTTAAAAACATCCCCACAGCATGATGCTGCCACCACCATGCTTCACTGTAGGGATGGTATTTGGCCAGGTGGTGAGCGGTGCCTGGTTTCCTCCAGACATGACACTTTGCATTCAGGCCAAAGAGTTCAATCTTTGTTTCATCAGTCCAGAGAGTTTTGTTTCTCATGGTCTGAGAGTCCCTCAGGTGCCTTTTGGCAAAGTCCAGATGGGCTGCCATTTGCCTTTTACGGAGGAGTGGCTTCCGTCTGGCCACTCTACCATACAGGCCTGATTGGTGGAGTGCTGCATGGTTGTTCTTCTGGAAGGTTCTCCTCTCTCCACAGAGAAATGCTGGAGCTCTTTCAGAGTGACCATCTGGTGCTTGGTTACCTCCCTGGCTAAGGCCCTTCTCCCTCAATCGCTCATTTTGGCCGGGCGGCCCGCTCTAGGAAAATTCCTGGTGGTTCCAAACTTCTTCCACTTACGGATGATGGAGGCCACTGTGCTCATTGGGACCTTCAATGCTACAGAAATGTTTCTGTACCCTTCCCCAGATCTGTGCCTTAATACAATCCTGTCTCGGAGGTCTACGGACAATTCCTTGGACTTCATGGCTTGGTTTGTGCTCTGACATACACTGTTAACTGTGGGACCTTTAGACAGGTTTATGCCTTTCCTAATCATGTCCAATCAAATGAATTTCCCGCAGGTGGACTCCAATCAAGTTGTGGAAACATCTCAAGGATGATCAGAGGGAACAGGATGCACCACAGCTCAATTTTGAGTGTCATGGCAAAGGCTGTAAACACTTATGTACATGTTTTTTTTTTATTAATAAATTGCAAAGATTTCAAAATGAACTTCTTTCACATTGTCATTATGGGGTATTGTTTATAGAATGTTGAAGAAAAAAATTAATTTAATCCATTTTGGAAGAAGGCTGTAACATAACAAAATGTGGCAAAAGTTGAGCGCTGTGAATACTTTCTGGATGCACTGTACTTCCTGGTTTCTGACCTAGGCCAAAATTATGTCATACACCCCAGGAGTTTTCATGGGCATTATTTTCCCATCTGGAGGAGGGGCTTTCTCAGCTAAGCACACCCTCCTCTCTGCATTCCTGAGCTATGGGAAGATGGATTCCAGGAAATAAATGCTGACTCATCTGTCCTTACTCAAGATGGCTGCAGCTATAAATGCTAGTGGGTGTTTTTCAAAGTGATTTCTCAACAAAATAAAGCATGGAGACGTGGAAGGATGGGGGAGATTGCTTTAAATATCAAAAATGGGTTAAATAGTGTGAAAGTGGGGAAAAAAGTGGAAACATGCTCATGAGACTTTTTGGAGGTATAACAACACATAATTGATATATAAAATCTTAATTTTATACAATAGTCACAGAGATAAAATCTTATCATATGCAAAAAGCAGTACAATGTTAAAAAGAACTGATTTACTGTCAGCTGTCTATTTGGATTTAATAAATTTCTGTGTGCAATCAAAATCTTCAACTCAAACAATGATTACTATTATGAGAACTGTTATTTTATCGACATATTATTGTATTTTTTTCTTTTTTAACTTTTGTACCCATTGGGGAGATTTCCTGGGCCATAGACACAACAAAGTGAAACCCTTCTCCACTCTGTTTTTAGGTATACTTTAAGACTCGGGTTCACAGTACTGCAACCTGAAAGTCACACGACTTACCGTGTGACTTTGCCAGGAGATTTGCTGCCAGCTTGATGCGAACTGAGTATGACTTTGATGTGACGTGATGCGCAACGTTCATGCCATGCGACTTTGCCTGGGTAATCTTCCTGTAATGTCGGATCCAAATCACATCAATATAGATGCGGATCTGACTTGGAGGTGATTTCCATTAAAGTCTACGGGCACAAGTCGGATAGAAGTCGCCTTGAAGTAGTACAGGAACCTTTTCTAAAGTCTGAGCGACTTCAGTAGTGCTAATTAATATGGCTCTCATTGACTAACATGGGATTTCACATGTCATACAAATTGGGGTCTCATAAGTTCGATCAAGTCATGGCAGTGTGAACAGAGCCTAAGAAAGTAAATAAATTTGAACAAAATTCATTAAATTTGCTCTTAGAGAAAACAAAAGAATGGGCCAATACTAGGATAAATGCTGAACATAGACATTAGGGGGTTGATTTCTTTAAACCGGTGCACTCAGAATCTTGTGCAGCTGTGCACGGTAGCCAATCAGCTTCTAACTTCAACTTATTCAGTTAAGCTTTGGCAATAAAACCTGGAAGCCGATTGGTTTCTATGCAGAATTGCACCAAAATTTGTACTCCCAAGCTGTAGTAAATAACCCCCTATATGGCAGAAATTTAGACAAATCACTAATCTTCCACTGAAACAAAGAAAAACCTTAAATGTTCCTCAATTTATACTCTTTGACTTTTGATAAAGATCCCCAAACTGGAACCTACCTTAGGAATCTAACCCTTTTTTGGGGGGAGGGGGAGCGGCTTTAAAGTGGTTGTAAACCCTTACATATACCCAGGGAAGTGACGGTCATCAGGTATTACACAGAGAAGAAACAAATCCTCCTACATATGTTGTACCTTTTTATCTGGAACCAATTTGTCCTCTACAGGCATTCAAAGTACAGAATGTATACAGGATGTCTCATCTCTGAAAAGCTAAAAAGCAGGGGGTGAGGATCTGAAGTTAAATTCTGCAGAAGCCAATGAGGAGAGCTGATTGGAGGAAAGGGACACCCCCCCCCCTGCCTTCACACAGCACACAGGAACAGAGCTGAGATATCAGTCACAGGCTGTGTGCTGGAGATCCCTCCCTTGTCACCCTTTTATCTCTTGCGTTTGGAAAATCAGAAGTGATTCATGCAGATAGCAGAGGGACAAGGCAGCAGAGAGAGATCACACTCAGTGTTTTGGATAGAGACAAGTATACCGTATTGAAGGATGTGCTTTGTTCCTATTTCAGGTCTGAGGTTTACAACGCTTTGAACACTGACTTTATTAATCATTACACAAACTGCAAGAAATAAGCAACAGCCTATTCATCTCTTGGGATGGTACCCATGAAATCAGTATTAAAAACTTAAAAAGTTACTGACGTGTAGGGTTTTTATGACAGCAGCAAGCCTATAGGTCTCTTCTGTCATAAATGCACCCCGCCTGTCAGCGGTCATGTACACTAAGTCGCATATGTGCAGCTCAGTGCACATATACAGCACCCAATGTGTGCAGTGGTGGTGTGACTCCCATGCGCAGCTGCTGAAGTAACATTATAATGGCCTTACACACATCCATGGCTCTGCTCAAGGCTGGCCTCTCTTGCACATGGACAGTCATCACAATCAGTCCCCACTCTTCATTGAAAATAGGAGAAGAAAAATAATAATAATATCAGCCGCACTCCAACTAGCTCTTCTTACAGTATTTTTAATAATCAATAACCATTGATACAGTGATGTCCCCAAAATGTATCGGCCAAAAATAGTGTTATTGGCATTTTGCGGTTTGGAAAAAAAGTGCCAATAATGGCTTCCAAAAACACGCGATTTTACCACATTTAGGATGTGTTTATCATAGGTCACGTGACTCAAAAAAATGCATCAAAAAGCAACGCGTGTGCGTTTTTGATGGGTTTTCAATGCATTTCAAGCCTAGTTCACACCAATACATTTTGCGTTTTGTCCATTTTGAAGTGTGTTTTGGCATGTGTGTTTTTGACGCATTTTTTGATGCGTTTAATTTTTTTTTTGGCCAACTTGTTGCTGGACAGATTAAAAAACGCATTAAAAAAATTAAAAACTTTTAATGCTTTTCAGGCCTGGTTGACACCAATGCAGTTTACGTTATGTCAGTTTTGAAATGCGGTTTGCATTTTTGCACACACGTTTTTGACGTTTCTTTTATGCGTTTTGCAGTTTTTAACACATCAAACACGTGCATATT